GATTTTTATATTGTCTCTACTAGATTCTTCACTTTTTCTTTTACCGAGATTCGCTTATTTATCTTCGCTAGATTCTGACATTAGAATCTACAACTTGGACCATTAACTACACATACGATTCAAGACTTTGTCTCTGAAAATCCTCGCGTCACTCAACGGGAGCAACGCGTCAATGGAGCTTGCCCCCTCCCCCGAAGAAGCAACGATGGCCGCGCGAGAAGGCCATCGAACTCGCCAAACGAAATTCCAAAAGTCATCCACTCCCGTGATCCAGCGTGATTCAAACCGGGAACGGGCATGTTATCGAAATAAATGCGGGACTGTAGAAGCGAGCGCGAGAATTTCTTAATTTCCTGTGCCGGGCGCGTAAAAAAGATGCCTGGACATCGATAAGATTTATGGTTAATTAGAATGCAATTTACTATACATCGGCATTATTGCTGGCACCGGTTCCCTCGCTGGCAGCGCGCAATAACGGGGAAACGAGCATGAAGCGAAGAGTACCCCGATATATCGGTATCCGCTCGCGGCTACTTGAACCGGTGCAACGATGAACGCCGCTGCTGCCGGCCAATAATGTTTCCCTCCGCTCTCCCCCCCCCCCTCCCTTTCTTCGCCCTGCTCCTTTTGGTCCTCTTTCTCTTCCTTTTTTCTCTCTTCCCCCTCCCCCCCGCCGCCGCCCCTCTTTCTTTTTATCGCAATATCGATCCACGATCGACACACGGCCTCGTAACACGCTGCAATTTAGAAGATGACTCGGCAAGTAAACACGGGTACTCGCGAATCATTCTCGCATCCGCGCACGAGGTGGAACTCGTTTGCGGGTGAACGAGAGATCGGACACGAAGATTCGATTCGATCGGGCCCGTGGACCCGGGCCTCTGTACGGAGAGCAACATATCGAGCCCCTGGACCGGTTTCAAGGTGAATAGCAAGGTGCTCGGGCCCCACGAAAATTGCTCCGTGTTACGAGCCTCTCCTCGCGGCTCTGAATCCTTCCTCCTCGCCGATGAGGAAATATATATATATATATATGAGAGGGAGACGGGGGCAATCGCCAAATGAGACGAACCAGTCCGAGAAATCGAGTAGCTCGAAAATCTTCCGACCATCTCCCTAAGACGCCAAGTATCATTCTGAAGTTTCATCCTCGATTGTTTAGATTCGAATCCATGTTCTTCCCGGCAGCTCTCGCAAACGTTAAGTTTGGAGATGCTGATTGAGGTTCATGATGATCCGTGTGACTATCGGTAATGTGGATTAAAATAATATTTCAATCTTGTTCTGTAAATTATTCTACTACGCATAGCGTTTCGTTACGAAGATTTAAAATGTCGCGAAATATTATCATGAAATGTATCGTTACATAAAATATTAGAAACGCAAGACACATACGGGACGAATATCACAGGAACAAGCGAGCCTGATATTTCTTTCTCTAACATAATCACGATGATTCTTCTCTGAGCGCAAACGTCCTTCAATTTTCTATCACTCTATTTGTAACCAACGGTGAAAATCAAGGGACAGTCTACGAAAAACTGGAATTTTTTCCGAAATTCGTTCCTCTCGCGACGACTACCAATCACCTTTGAAAAAAAGAAAAAATGATTCCCAATTTATTACGGAGGCCACTCGAGTAGCGAGTGCCCTATCAAAACGAACGGAACGACCCCCTCGAGTCTCCCTCTCTCTCTCTTTCGAAGGTCCGAAAAGAAGAGGAACGCGCAAAACCGAGGAGCGAGATAGAAAGAGCGGGGAAGAGAGTGAATCGTACGAAACGCCCCTTGTTCGAATCGCTTTTCAAGCGGGGCTCGTTCATCTCGTACGAAGCAAACGCTGACATCCGCCGACGCTTCGCAGCAATCAAACTCGTCGAGAGAGAAACTCGGGCCCGCGGCCGAGGATGGTTCGATGGACTCTGGTTCTTCCTCCCCGAGGATCGTCGAGTATAGAATGAGAGGAGAAACGGGAGTTACGTCGACCCGCGTAAAACAGAGCTTTAATACTCGATTCGGGGAACGAGATCGAGGAAGCGCGCGTAAAAACGCCTACGTGGTCGTAAAACTCGGTGGAAAATCTCGGTGTCGAAGGGGACGAAGAAGTCTGGCCTTCCCTCCGATGCGCGGATTCCTCGCGTTTCCGCTTCGCCCCTTTCCTCCCTCCCCCCTCCCGTGTTTCCAGTCACAAAATATGGATAAGATTTCGTTTCGAGTGGCAGCCGGTATTAGAGAGCAGCCACGCTCGCCGATGGAAACGAGCGAGCACCGTGTAATCCTGGGGAGAGACGAAGCTCCTGGGACGAGATATTATTCCGGGCTAATAAGGTGGATATTGAAAATTACTCCGTGAACTCTTGCTGCAACCGGGGAACCTGTGTTCTTCGTGTCTTCCTTTTGGCGGATGGATTGGTACGATGCTCTTAGGCAAGGTTATTTTCTTTTTTCTTTTTTCTTTTTTTTTTTTTTTTTTGTTGGTTCTGTATAAAGAGTTTTCAGGATTTGGAGAAGATCGTGAGATGTTGGAAAAGAATTTTAGGATGGTTGACGTTGTATTTGGCAGTGGTACACATTGGAACTATTACTGTTCCGTTTCTCAAGATTTTACGAGAGCATGTCAATCATCTGGTGGGATGATAATCGTATCGCGATGTATAAAAATGAGATGCAAGTAGTTCAATAATGCAGAATAATAATAAAAGTAACGTTTAATGCGTGTACTCTCAAGCCCTCGTATCGATATCTCAAAATCGTTGTTCGTAATGAAACCAATCCATAAACTGTTGACTGCCTGAAAGTATACCTACTTGTATAAATAATTATTATTAATCGCATAAAAGAAAAGACGTTCCCCTTTTCTAAATTTCGCAATAATTTCATACGTATGTTAACAACAAAATATCAGTTCACAAGGAAATTCGTAATTTCGTATAGAAGAAACAACTTCTCATCTAGCCGCGAATTTTCGCGACGAGCAACGTTTGAAACGAAACTCGAAAACGATTTATAAATAGAAACCGCTTGCATCAGAAAGTCGGTATCTGTTACGGAAGCTCCTCTGTTGCAACGAATCGCGAAGAATGCAGCCGTGAACCGCAGTCGGACGTTCGATGTCTCATTTCGCGAGTCTCGTTGCGCAAGTTTCGCGCGGCCAAGGTTGCGCAACCAAGCTCTTACTGGCAAAATTTCGCGGCCGTTGCGAACGCCTTGTCGCGGTTTCCATTCGGCGAAACGCGTCGTCGCGAATCGAAAGGCGCGAACGCGATGATGTCACGGAATATTCTCGCCAGATATCATTCTGGCAAGCCCGTCGGAAGGAAAATCGCTTTCGCGCTGGTTTTGCAAGCCGACGTCGGTTTCGTGAATCATCCTCAGCCACTTCCGGCCATCGTGACTCACCCTTCCGAAGGATTACCGCCAACGAGCTACGATCGAAATAGAAAAGAAGACTGCGTGTCTTAACGACAGCTCTTCCTAATTGTTTCGTTCGCTTTTTCTTTTTTTTTCTTCTTCTTTTTTTTTTTTTTAGAACGACGTGCAATATTTCACGATCAAGGATTATTTTTATTCATAATTTTGGAATTATTGAAATTTTTACAAAGTATAGTAGCTTATGTATCACGAAAGGTCAGTAAAATTGTTTCGTACAGGTAAAGAATATCGAAAGAATATCGAAAATATTTTCAATGAAAAAATCGTGGATTTCTCTGGTGTGAAGAATTTCAATGCACAAAACATTTACGTAAATGCGTAGAATGCAGAAATATGTGAAATACATCTAAAATACGCTCGTCGTTACAGCGTTATTTATTAGAAGATGAAACAAATCTTTACTCAGTCGTGTTTGTAAAAATCGAAATCTCCATAAAAAAAATTCTGCTAACGAATAACAATCGCCTCGGTGTTGCTTTTTCTAATTATCGTCGACAGGAGATTATACAGTAGAGACCACATAATGGAACGTATTTATACCTGTTTAAAATATTTAAATGCCTCTGAATCGCAACGCGATTATCATTATCGAATGACAGCGTCTCCTACAGTGACGTCCAACGCAACTTCTAGAAAAATAACAAGATGGAGGCCGTATCATTCAAGCCGTACGACCCCGCTCGTAGTACGTCGACGTTCGAACCCCGATCGACCTTTTCGAAAACCATGGGGGAAACATCGCGAAGAGAGGGGGAAAGGGCACGTTAACACGGAGATGCAGGGTCGTACGTAGCGAAAGTGGGATGAAAACCCCTCGAAATCAAATCAATTAAGCCACGTGCAACCCCACCCTCTTCCTCGGTTGCATCGGTGATTGGATCTGTCGAAAGATTTTCGCAAAATGGAGGAAATCAACGCTCGATCGTTTGAGGCTACATAGATTAGAAAATTGGAAAGTTTATTTGAGACCATAGTTTGAGTCCAAGTTTATTTAAATTATTCATCGTTTCAAACGATGACGGACTTTATTAATTGCCCAGAGGACTATCGAGGGAATATTAAGTAGAACGAGTCAACGATTGTCGCACGTTTGATTTATTGGTGTACGATATGATTTTTCTGATCCGTGAGGATTTGTTTCACTGTTTGAAATTACTGGAACATTACTGGTTAATTACAATTACCAATTTGTGAAATTGCAATTTTATACAACTGAGCAATGATTTGCGATATTAGGGAGAATCATTCACAAAGATATTTTTATCACGTCTATCCACATATCTCAAGATAGATTTCCCCAAAAATTTCTACCGAATTGCAAAGTCGAGATGCTTCGCCGAGGAATTAACTGAAAACACCAGAGTCTACTACTGAATTACTGTAAAAGTCCACCTATCACGCGTGACTGAACCAACTTTCCAAAACATCCAATTTAACTTCATTCGGTTTCGCACCTCCACACGGCGGAAACTGTCCTCAGCCTACACGCCTCTGCGGCACTTATCGAACGAGATCGAAAGGACTGAGGCACTTGACTCGACGCGATTGGACACGGAAGAGGAAGAAAAGAGAGAAAGAGAGAGAGAGAGAGAGAGAAAGGACGAGGGCGGAATGGTGAAATCGCACGCGTGACGGCTCGCCCGTTATATCTGCGGACGGGAAATCGGGGAATCGCAGAAGTGGGGCGCGGGAAATTTCCAATAAAGGGAAATCCAACATTCGGTGCCGGCCGGCTGCGCGTCAGGCGGCCCAATAACAAAGCAATAACTATCGACGATGCGCGCACTGCCATTATACGTGTCTACCGGTATCCACGTAAACGTGGCTACGTGACAGTGTGGCTGGTGCAATTGCATCGTCATCCCACCCATACTCTGCCAATTCAACCCGTTGCTCCCCTGCGTTGCGACACATCGTCTACCTCTTTCTCTCTCTCTCTCTCTCTCTCTCTCTCTCTCTCTCTCTCTCTCTGTGTATGTTCCTCTGTATCTCTGTCTCTCCGGAGACAGGGACGCGTATTGCGACGCGTGTTCCTTCGACATAATACATATATGCATTTGTACGATGAATATTTAAGTAGAAACTACTAGTGAATGGACAACTATTGCGAGGCCGGTAGTCATTAACGTGTGAATAATTTAGAAAGTAAATATTATTCTCTTCCAGCGTGACGCTATGTGCAAAAGTTGAGGATATGTATCGGTGGAAGAAAGATAGAAGTTGGCGCGATAAGTGAAATAATCTGTCGGTTTTTTGAAACGAAGTAGGTATGGTTGTAACTTTTCCTATGAAAGATTCTCGTACAGAACATCGTTTTGTAATTTTCAGTTTAGTTCAATTTTTTTTTGTTATTATATCATTAATTATCGATTAATTCCATCAACATTTAATGCATTAGTAAATATTTTTATATTACAAATTGTAATGAACTTTCGACATGAATGTCGACGTCAGGTGAAAGAAGTTGGAGAATTGGTAGTTACAAAATTTGTCAAATTTCTTTCTGTTTCGTTCCTTCGTTTTCAAAGAAAGAGGATTCTTTCTTCTTTCGATTCCTCCAATCGTAAATGGAATATTTAGAGAAAGAAAAAGAAAACAATTCCAATACATTATATATAAATTATATATCAATTCAAGATCTACCAGACGAAACTGGATTTCCATTTCTTCACTCTTGCGTTCGTGAAAACGCCGAAATACACAAAAACATAAAAACCCCGCGGTTTCTAATTACTACGTGTTTTTATCAACATCGCTTATCGAGATCAAATTGCCGACAAAAAAAAAAAAAAAAAAAAGAAAGGGATGCAGCGCAACAGATAATCGACAGGACGAACACGATAGCAATTGGGGAATGGTTTTCGAGGCGAGGCAACACGCGTGCGTTCGCGCGAATGCGTCAGCCACGGTCGCGTGAAACGATTCGAATTTTGGGGCGAGATCGTCGCGCTGTAACGTCCGGTTCGATCGGTTTACTACGCGGCCGCCATCGTACGGTTTATCGCATCCGGAAATGGAATTGTTAGGGACGCGTTATACACCCACCACTGCCTAACCCTGATTTTTTTTTCCTTTTTTTTTTCTTTCTTTTTTTTTTTTCATCTCGACGCTCGTTTTTT